TTGCATTAATCTCAACAGAATTGTTAAGCTTTAGTTAATATTAGCAATTCGTATTCGTTTTATTGTTGTTGGTGTCGTTGTTGTTGAGAAACCACTTTGGCTGGGAATGTTATTTAAGGCATTTTTATAGCAGGTATCATAGATTCGTAAAATACGATTAAAAAAAAAAAAAAAAAAAGAAACTGAAAGTAGATATTTAAAGTAACTATCTGAGAATGAAATATTTGTATACATTTAGGCAATTAGATAAATAAATATTTAACTTTATTTAATTAACTTAATAATGATATAATTACACATATTTAGTAAATTTCACAATTAAATAGATTTTGTTAATTGGATGATTGAATATTGAAAAATTCAATTATTATTTACAGACTGCTATTGAGTAGTATTGTATTTTAATATGAGAGCTTAAAATGTTATCCAAGTGAGATTGCATGTTAGCTGCGCTCTTCTCATTTCAAACTGTTATCCTCTAACTCTCACTCCGTGTGAGAGAGTGGGCTAGACAATGATCGCTGTTGCCGAGCATAGTGTCGGGTGTTGCTGAGTGTGAGCGAGATAGTTACCTGGGACATACAGATAGGCTCGTTAAAAGTCAGTGGACGAAGTGAAAGCTCAACAAAGACGACCAATCGACTCTATCTTTACATATATATGTAGTTAATCAAATATTTAACAATTCAATTGAGAAAACTGTATAGCTTCATTGCAGAGAATCAAGCAGTCAATGCATTTTGAGCGACTGTTTCGCATTTCATAATTAAATAATTCCCTGGCCGGCCGTAGATGATTGTTGCATTGGCATTCTTTAATTAAATGCATTCGGTTTTTAATCGAGTAAAAGACGCTTTTTCCCAATGATTCAATGGCTTTTGCCTTGAACAAACATTTCGAACAAATAGCAGCAAGGCCGAGGCGTGGAGCAGTGGGAAAAACACGAAAGGAAAACAGCGAGAAAAGATGATGAAAAAAACCCAGAACACAGTGTGTATGATAATTGAAATGTGCGTGGGCGGTGGGCGTGGGACATTGATGGTTTTCTTTTCGCTTGCAGCGGACGGCATTAAATTTAGTCGAGAAGACAAAGTTCTCGAGCTGAAAGTTTTTCCATTGCCTTTAAAGTAACGTGAAAGTGAATTAAGTGCGGTTAAATAATTGCGATTAATTTCGAAATTTTGCAATCAATTTAAGTGGCAAACTTTAGTTGGACGATGCCAAAGTGGATAACAGCCAAAAAATAAAAACAAATCAAGCTTGAAAGAAAGAGAGAGACAAAGATAGAAAGAAGTTAAAATACTGTTGTCCCGTGTCCGTTCTAAAAGTAATCTATTTAATTGTTAATGCATAATTTATTAGCCGAGTCTGCCGAACCGCGGTTGGCGTGGCAATATTGATTGTTTTAAGTTTATGTCTGAATCTATTTTTGAAATAGGAACTTAAAGTGCTTTTTAATATATGTTAGAAGTTTTCATTATTTAAAGCTTTTATATATTTTCATACATACATATGACACGCTTCTGTTAAATTGCTGTCCGGCTGTTTGCTGGACTTATCAATTCTGTAAAGAGTGGCTGTTAAAAGACTCTGTAGGTTACACACACTGTTACAAGAATTAATCATGAGTGATTGGCTGAGTCTCTTAACAGTGAACTGCAGTTAGGTAATTCTAACTCTTTTAACAAGGGCTATTGCAACTGCTTATTGTTGCAGTTGTATTAGTGTGACTACATATTTTAACCGAATGAGTTTGCGTCTGAGCTGAGCTTTTATCCTCTAACTCTCATTCCATGTGAGGGAGCGAGAGAGACGACGATAGCTGTTGCCGAACGTAGTCTCGGGTGTTGCTGAACGAGAGCGAAATGACTGCATAGGACATTCGTATAGGCTCGTTACGCAGAAACTCTCAAGCTGTAAAAACACATCAGAAGCAGTGTTGCCAGGTTTTGAGACATAAAAATAGCAAAATCGTCTCTAAAAAATAGCTGAAAATAGCTAAACAAATTTTAAAATAGCTTACAAAATAGCTGAAACCTTTATGCATTATGCATTTACTTTAAATTTTATTTTTAAATGTTATTTAATAATGTTACAATTTGGTCCACATCCAAATCATCATCAGAATTATATTTTTGATTAACTGGAATCATGTTTAAATGAAATCATGGAAAATGTTTAAATTTTTTGCCCAAAGACGCAGAAAAATGTTTTTTTTTTTTTTTTGCTTTAAATACTAAAATCAAATTCAAACTATTCGTTTGTAAAATAGCTAAATTTATAGCTAATAGCATATTCAAAATTTTCATAGCATTTAGGGTTCAAAAATAGCTAAAAATGCTATTAAATAGCTAATCTGGCAACACTGATCAGAAGCCGACCAATCACAGGTGTAATAAGATCGTGAGGAGAGTGTGCTAATATGCATGCTCATACAACTACATATGTGTACTGCTCTTTTCCGTGTCTCTTGTAATGAAGTACTTAAAATGGCTTAACATGAATATATGCTAAATAGAGTTCACACTCATTAAACAAATTTCCGTGCTCTTATTTTCTGATGGCATGATTAATTCTGAATACTACAACTTTAATAAGGTCTGTCTGCCTTTCGTTGACCCGGTCTACCGCACGCTTACGAGAATCTCATTAAAATGCGAAACGGAAACGCAAAGTGTGATTCGTTACTTGAATATCACGCACAGACAGGGCACACGCCACACGGCATACAGCATACGTGGTAGGTGGTAGGTGGCAGGTGGCGAGTGGGGTAAAGATGACATTGGCTCCAAATTACACTTACACGCATGTTGCAGCAGTGTCGCGACCCATTCCAACGAATCGACCCTGGGCCGTCTGACTTTATTCCATCGACTTTTTCGCGTGCAGCATGTGGCAAGTGCTGGCTGCTGCCTTTTCATGCGAATGAAGTTACGACACAAGCACGACTCTCGTGAGCAGACATAGTGAAGGGCGTGTGCCAGCAAAATATTTCAATGCTCCGCACGACTTTAGGCCAGAAAACAATATGAATTGGCATTGATATATTTCATTGAATTACTCGTTTCGCGAGTGTAGACAAAGTTTTTTTTTTTTTTTTTTTTTTTTTTTTTTTTTTTTGTCATAAATACAGATTAGACAGCTTATGCAGTTATTATTATTTTTATGTATCAAATATCATTTTATAGTCTGGCTTTTGTGGCCTTCGCCTGCTTTGCCTCGCCAACATTTTGCGTGCGTGACGCAGAGCATTTCTCGCGCTCTCATCCCTAAGCAAAATTGACTATCTGCCCCCCCACTTTTACCCTGTGCCTCCCACTCCACTCCTCCCAGTGTCACATATTGCAATCTGTGCAACATTTTGGTGCCATTTGCTATAAACAACACTTGGGGATTTCAACACCGCAGACACATTTTTTTTCGGTCTAATTTGCGCTTATGGCTCAATGATCATTGGCATCAGCGAAATTGCATCAGCATCGGCTACGATAGTTGACTGGTTTCCCTCACGAACTGAGGCAGCTGCCGTTGCTTTGTTTTGCATATTTAATGCCAATTACGAAAACCGTTCATTCCGCCTGCTGTCGATTAGCCATTGTAGCATATTGACCCTATCTGCGCAGCAGCCTAGCCTAGGGGCTCATGCATTGCAGCTATGCATTTTATTGCAATTAACAGCTGCGGTTTTTTTTTGCGTCGAGTGTCGGGAGTTCAGGCAGCTGCTGCAGTAAAATGCATTCAATGCCAAACAAACAAACAAACAAAAAATGTATTTAATAAAAAATAATATAAACTACACGGAAAAGGGAAAGGGCATTTGTGGCGTAAGCTCAGGTCAGGGTCAAGTGAAGGGCGCTAATTAAAAATTAAAATTCATAACTTTATCATGAATGCTTTTAATTTATGACAAAACTTAAATTGCGGAGCTCTTTATGATTCACATCTGTCTCTTCAAACACTTATTCAAATAGTGTATATTAAAAAAAAAA